ATCAAGGTGGAACATATGGAGTCAACCAGTGTTTCTTACACTGAGTTGGACTTTCAGTTACTGAAACTGGAAATCAATGAAATGCAGAGACTGGTCACTCAGCTGAAATCCACACTTGGAAGCAATGTGATTGTTGAACAACTATACGTGGAGGTAGAGTATGAGGGTTATTCTGCCATTCAGAAACATTCAGTTCTCTGTTACACCAGTGAAATTTGGAATGTCTCTACTATTGTCAGTGGAGTTAGTCTGGATTTAAATCAGTGTAAATTAAAGCAAATCTTGGCCTTAAGCATGTTTCTTCATATATAGCAAAAAATGGCAATTTTTATCATTTGTGTGACAAAGTTAAAGTTCTTGGATGCTGCTATATTAAATAAATATGCTGTCTAAATTATTATAATAAATATTAATTTATGGGCGCGTATGCCTGAAAGCTTCTGTGCTCTAATAAACATAATTAAAAATTTAACATTTTATGGTAGTGACCCGATTAATATAAAATCAAGAACTGGAAAAGACTCATACCTTCCCAATATTCAATAAATCAAATTTTCAAAATTATCACTCATTCACCTGGAGTGAATAATTGTTTTTGATGGTAAGTAAAATATCATTAGTTTCTTCACTGTCCTCTTCAACATTAAATGAGTGTGTGAGTAGATTATTTATCTAGGCAGGTAAGTTTTCAAGACATATCTGCAAGGCTGAAATCATTTATAGGTAACAGTTAATAACCAAGTAAGCCTTATTGGATATTTTGGGGTGATCTTTAGCATTACGGTATATGATTGAGTGCTAAAATCTCAAACATTTTCTTGTGGTTACACACATCCGCACGAGACCTGATGTTTATGCTAAAACATATTCTTGTGAAATGATAAATTCAGCCTAAAATATTTGTGAAATAAACTTGACTGTAATTTAAAGTCATGCTAAATTTTTATTTCTCCAGATTAGGAATCTGACTGTTATGGTAAATGATCTGGAATCATTGGACAAAAACAATATCCTTGCAATCCGTCGAGAAATTGTGACACTGCAGAATCGATTGAAGGAATGTGAAAAGGATAGAAATCAAACCACTCCACCCTCCTATTTCCCACCAGGTAAGCATTCCGTGTATAAATCACATGAGAAAGGATGGTAGAAGTAGGAAGAAGACTGAGTTAAATTAAATGACAATAAAGCACAGGTCGAAAAGTAACGTTTTGCCCTTCTTCCAAACTCTCTTTTTGTGGTATAATATAAGAACATAAGAATAGCCATATTGGGTCAGACCAAAGGTCCATATACCCCAGTATCCTGTCTTTCAACAGTGACCAATGTCAGGTGCTCCAAAGGGAATGAACAGAACAGGTAATCATCAAGTGATCTCTCCATCCCTGCCCATCCTGGCTAATAGCCATTGATGGACCTATCCTCCATGAATTTATCTAGTTCCTTTCTTAACCCTGTTATAGTCGTGGCCTTCACAACATCCTCTGGCAAGGAGTTCCACAGGTTTACTGTGCGTTGTGTGAAAAAATACTTCCTTTTGTTTGTTTTAAACCTGCTGCCTATTAATTTCATTTGGTGACCCCTAGTTCTTGTGTTATGAAAAGGAGTAAAAAACACTTCCTTATTTACTTTCTCCACACCAGTCATGCTTTTATAGACCTCTATCATATCCCCACTTAGTAGTCTTTTTTCAAAGCTGAAAAGTCCCAGTCTCTCATTAATCTCTCCTCATATGACAGACGCTCCACACCCCTAATAATTTTTGTTGCCCTTTTCTGAACCTTTTCCAATTCCAATCTATCTTTTTTGAGATGGGGTGACCACATCTGTATGCAGTATGCAAGATGTGGACGTACCATGGATTTATATAGAGGCAATAGGATATTTTCTGTCTTATTATCTATCCCTTTCTTAATGATTCCCAACATTCTGTTTGCTTTTTTGACTGCCGTTGCACATTGAGTGGATGTTTTCAGAGAACTATCCACAAAGACTTTAAGATCTCTTTCTTGAGTGGTAACAGCTAATTTAGACCCCAACATTTTATACGTATAGTTGGATTTATGTTTTCCAATGTGCATTACTTTGTACATTGACGGGGCCACTTAGGGATCTGGGGCAAAATCAGTACTTGGTCCTGCTAGTGAAGGCAGGGGGCTCGACTCGATGACCTTTCACGGTCCCTTCCAGTTCTAGGAGATAGGATATCTCCATTTATTTATTTATTTATTGAATTTCATCTGCCATTTTGTTGCCCTGTCACCCAGTTTTGAGAGAGATGTTTTTTCTGACTAACTCTGATCATGATTAACTTCTGTTAAAGTGATTTGTGTCTTGTCAGCATCACTCTACTGCTGCTTGGGAAATTTGAGAAGCAGCTGATGCATGGAGCTGTTTGTATGCAGACTCAAGAAGACAAAATTGCGTAGTTTACATTTTTCGTTAATATGCAGAAATTTATTCTAACACATAAAGGCTAGAATCTTAGGGTGAAATCCTAGTCCCATTGAACTCAGTGGGAGTTTTGCCATTGTCTTCAATGGAGCCAGGATTTCTACTTTTTTTTTTTTTTTTAAAGAAAGTTTAAATTCTGTAGCAATTGATAGCTCTCCTTAAGGGAAAGCTTCCCAGTCACTAATGAGTAGGCAAGAGGATTTTTCAAGCAGTGTTACTCCCTTTGTATGCATTTTTATGTCTTCTTTTTGCCAAATTATTCTAAAGCAGAAGGTATTACAATGTTCATAATACAATGGGGGAAGAAGACTGCTTATTCACCGATACCTAACAATTTGGCTAGCAAATCAGAGGTGAACCAGACTACTAACAAAGAGTTTGGAGAAACCTTTGAACAAAGCAGAGCACTTTCCACTGTACAGATAGTTCACGTATTACCTACCGGTACTTGCCTCCTACCACCTTCAGGTCAGTTATTTCAAGCTTCCCATTAGCAGGAGAGAGGAACTGGTAGAAGTAAAAGTTTTCCCTCTGCGGCCTCTTCAGGTCTTGCCAGCACTGCAGGCAGCCAGTACAGTTTGTCTCTGATAGGAAAAATGAACAGCACTTTCTCTGTTGGGTCAGATGATGCGGGGGTGGGGGGAGGGAAATACACTCTAAAGTCCTTTGCTAATCCTTAGGAAAGGCTTACCAATTGTTCAGTGGAAAGTGTAGGGTTTAAAAAGCATTTGAAGGGCATTTCATTGATTTATTGAGGGTGATGGTGTGTAGAGAGAGGCTGCCTCTTTCTTCTCAAGCCTGAGAACAAGTCTTTCTTACAGTTAAAAAGTGCTAAAACCTTTAACCATAGTGCTGTGTTCAGCAGGTGTATGTAAGAGGAGGAGGGGCTCATTTCAGGGTTAGTGGACTGGACCTCTTTCTGGTTGACTTGAATGTGGCATGCCTGCAGGGCACACACAGGGCCAGCTCCAGGCACCAGCTTGGCAAGCAGGTGCTTGGGGCGGCCACTCCGGAGAGGGGCGGCAGGTCCAGCTATTCGGCAGCAATTCGGTGGACGGTCCCTCACTCCCGCTCGGAGCGAAGGACCTTCCGCCGAATTGCCGCTGCAGATCGGAGCCAGCCCTGAGGGCACAGCAGCTTTCTTAGCACCGGGAATGACATGGAAGGCCAGCTCCTCAGCTGGCGTAAGTTGCCATAGCTCCATTGACTTTGGTTGGACTATGACAGTTTATACCAGTTGAGGACCTAGCTGATTACTTTGTGGATGGTTTCTGGGTTCAATTCCCCCATTGGCACAGAGGCTTCAGAAGGCCCCTACTGCAATGAAACCTCAGTGGTTCTCTTGTTTGAGGGGGGTGTGAAGTGTGGAGAGGCCATAGGGAGGGACTCTGTATGTCTTGTGAACGGTAGAGGTAACTTGCCACCACTTTCAAATAGGTCAAAACAAGGTTTGGTGGGAGTTAGGGAGCAGGGTGGGATTGTGATTTCTGGATGTGCCATTAGGGGGAGATCCAATGACAATAAACCATGCTGAAGGGGAGTATATCAGTGCCATGGTTCCTACTCCAGCCCAAGACTGGAATAGCAACTATGGCGAGCCTGGGAATTTTCCTGTCTATTAGGGAGTGGAGTTGCTCAGCTACTACTGTGTAAATACCTAGATAGAGACAAAGATTCAGTTCCCTAACCTGCTGAATAATTGACCACACAAAGCCTGCTTAGCCTGACTTTGGTGGGGAGGGAAAGAAGGAAGGGGAACAGATGAATTGCACTCTCTTTGCAGTGGGTGCAATCTTTCATTTCATGTCATATTGTTCAAAACTTTCTACACTGATTGCACACAGTATAGTTCATTTCCTTAACAGAGAGAAAGTGGGAGGGAGAAGTTGCTGTTTGGGAACAGGGGGTGAATAAGTGAGCTTGGTGGATTTCCTGGATGGGTCCCTTTGGAGGATGCGAATAGTTGCACACACTAGACTATCAAAACTCCCTAGCACGCCTTTAAGCAGTTACACACAGATTTCCATACATTTCCTCCACAACTTTGATTCCTGTCAAACCACTTCCTCTGCTTTTGGCTCATACTATATTTATAATATTTGTATTACACTGATCCTTTGTCCTGCTTTCAGATCTGTTCCCCCCCTCCCCTACTTCGTATTTTGGTTGGGTAAAGTAGACTTGGGAGAGCCTGAAAAATCCCTAACTTGTCTAAGGAGGGTTTAATTAAAGTTACTTGCTCTTGCTCTTTGGAATACAGCCCCTCAAACACTGCATCCCAAGGTGCTGCTCACTGACACGCTGTGTAGCGAGAGCAGGCCTATTCTCAAGCAACCTATCAGAAAGTAAGTACTGCTCTCCATCTGGCCTGCTCTCTGACTGCAGTTTTCTAGTGCATGGCCCAGTCCGAGATGGGATTCAGTAAATGTGTTGATAATAAAAACTCATTACTTTTACCATGCCTGCAGCAGTTTCCGGCACCTCTGTCACTATTTACTGCCCCAAATCAGCAGAAACTTATCCAACCTCTTCCCATCCCTTTGACAAACTGAATGACTGTCTCTCATTTGTGTTGATTTCAACTGATTGCATCAGGGCAGGAGTACAGAGATGAGTTCAGTGAGGGCTCAGCAGCCGGCTTTTTGTCACACTGGACTAAAATTATCTGGTAGTCAGCGGAGAGTCGTGAGCCAAATGAGACACTAACAGGCAAATGGAAAGGCAAAGCTGTTTTTTCCCCCCATTGTGCCTTCATGGACTAATATACCAGACTTCAAGTTATTGGCAAACAGCTCTCACCAGGGTGGGAACATGGAATTAGCCTCCATGGAAGCTCAGGCATCTTGGTATGAGGGTCACACTGATTTCATGCCCCACCCCCATCTAAGTAAAGCTGGGATGTAGGAAAATAAATGCCTATAGTCTGGTTGTCTTTTGGGGTAAGGTACCAGTTATCACTTGAAATGTTAATGCCTTAGTTACAGATATGTTTATTTAGAGCTGGATATTTCCATGGTGTTTGTACAAACACAGGCCCACTCCAAAAAGCTGATCTGGGTGGGTGGATCCCTGTGCCCCTGATATCAGTGGGAATCAATGTGGGTATAAGGATCTGCCTGCATGGGCCAGATCACAGGAGTAGGACCAAAATGTAATATGTTCCTTTCCCCAGAGAGCTTACTATTTCTGGGTTGGATGGTGTCTCAGCCCTTTGGAAGAGGTGGCACATTGCCGGGCTGCCCCAGGAGCAACACAGGAAAAATTGTGGTGCAAGGAGCCACATTTTCCCTTTCTGCCTTGTTCTTCAGGGGGCACAGGCAATGTTCCCTCTACTTTTTTCCATTCATGTGCGGAATGAATTTTGTTATGTGCACCAAATTATTGAGGTAATGTGTGGATGTTTGCTATCAGTAGAAACAAAATACTTAGATATAATATATATATTTAAAAAGTTACCATAGGGATAATTACTCCATCCAGGACAGGTTAGGCATTTTAGAACTCACTACTCAAAGCATTAAATTTAAGCGTAAGAGAAATAAAAATTATGAAATGCACAGATGAGTCAAAAAACTCAAATAACAGCATGTTGAAAGAATAAAATTACAGAGACTATGTGTGCATTGCAGGAAGTATTAAGAAGTAACAGCAACAACAGCAACACAAGTATGTGTTGGGAGGTGAGTGTGAAAGACAGACAGACAGACACACACACACACACAGTGTGTTGTGTGTGTGTGTGTGAGTGAGAGAGACACAGTGTGTGTGTGTGTGTGACAGACACACACACACACACACACACACACACACACACGCTGCCCCTTTAAGTATGCTGCCCCTTTACGTAGATCGGCACTCACCAGTCTGAAGCCTGTTTGTTCAGACACAGCAGCAGCCACCAGCAAGCTCCGTCCCAGTTCTGAGCTCTGTCGTGTCCCTCCCCCGCTCTGCAGAGATGGGATATAGGGATGGTGGGGCAGGGGAGGGGGACACCCTGACATCACACCCCCTCCTCTCCTCCTGATCTGCACAGCAAGCAGGAGGCTCCCGGGAGCAGCTGGCCAGGGACTCCCAGGCATAGGGCAGGAGCAGTGCAGCAGTGGGGGGAAGAGGGCACCTAAAGCGCGCGGCACTTGATAGACTGCTGGACGGCCGCCTGGCCACGCAGCTTAGAGGGAACTATGGGCACAAGGATATCAATTCACTGCAGTCACAACCCCCAGCCTGCCAGCTTAGCTGTGGTGACTGGCACACTGGGGCTATGGAGCCATGGCTTCCCGCCTTTCCATGCTCATTCCTCTGCCCCTCAGAAGTGGGTTAGCAAGCAGACATGCAGCGCCACTTCCCCCTGCGCATCCTGACCCAAAGTCTGGGTAGCCTGTGTGGGGGAATAAAGCGTATGTGTTTTCTTAGCTCCCTCTACCTTATTCCCCCACGTGAACATGCAGCCCACCTCTGAAAAAGAGACAAGACACGGCTTTAGCCCTGGGACTTCAATGATCAGAGGTCTAACACAGTAAAAAAGGAGTTAAAATGCTAAAGGCTGAATAATTCATAGGGATTTATTTCGAGTGCCGCCCAATATTTACAAAATGACATGACACTTTGTTTCTTTTGTGTATCTTTTTCCACAAGATCCAGACAGGAAGGCAAGTTAAGATTAAATAAACAACAATGAGTTCCTCTGAACCTGTGCAGAAGACAGATAACCCACCCTGACTACCACAGAGGTTTTTTTTTAAAACTCTTTCTGGGAAAGTTTTCAAAAATCAAAATCAAACATCCACTGTATGGAACTTCACACAATTTCTCATGTCATTAAACTAAACATGCTCCTAACTTTATTTTAATAATTCATACATGGTTTCATAAATAAGAAACAAACAAGTGTTCAGCAGAGAGATCTCTTTAAGGGAAGAAATAATAATTTATTATTTCTTTTGTAAGAAACGGTCTCTCTGCTGAACACACGTTTGTTTTTTATTTATGAAACAGTGCATGAATTATTAAAATAAAGCTGGATTGGGTTCAGTTTAATGACATGAAAAATTATTTGAGGTTGCATATATATGAGTTTAGTAGTACCTCAGTACCAGCAATATTATTTGGAACAAATCACAGATTTATAGAAGCACTTAATAACCATTTAATTTTGAAATAAGATTGCTGTGAGTTAAGTTCAATAATAGATTCAATATGTCGACAGTTAAGAACAAACCATAATGCCGGAGGTAGCGATACACAATAGAGATATAAGGCAAATGGCTCAAATTGATTTATGGAGTTGGCAGGCTGCAAGCCACTGTGCATCATCATCTGCATTATCTTTCTTGAACTGCATCAGCTGAGGTATGAGCACCTCCAAACATCAGTATGTGTGCCAAGTACCGAGGCCATGCTAATTGCCATTTGCAGAGCTACAGCCTGCCTGGCCATACAGTGCCTGCATTGTGTGCTATATCTGGAAATGAGGTCTCAGGTCTCAGCGGTCCATTCCCAGTCAGTAAAGCACTTAAGCACGTGTTTAAATGCTTTGCTGAATCTGAGCCTAGAATGCTGATTTGCTGTAATTGGAGCATTATTTGGTAGTTTTTTCAACGAGGGAGCAAAACCCAGGGCTACACCATCTTCTAGCACTGTGTCCTCAGAGAAAATTGATCCGGGGGAAGTTACAGTGGCACAGAATGGCTGTAACCTCTGCTCTGGCCAACCAAGCCCCACAGATGGCTGGTGCTGACCAAGAAGGCATGACCCAGGTGGCCAGGGGAGGCAACAATTCAGCACAGCCTCTCTGCAGCTTCCATCAGCAGGGCTCCATAGAAGCCCCACGAAGAAATGAAATCTGCCTCCCACCCCCCACAGTGAGGGCAGTGAGTGAATTCCTGATCCCCACCTGCTTTGGCACCAGGGGTCAGGCTGGGCTAGGGAGATGTGGGAAAAGCTATACAACAGAAGAAAGGAGACAGTGGAGCTTAGGAAAGGTGGAAAGACAAAAGGAAGGGAGACATGGTGAGTTTCACTGCAAAACCGTATTTCATAGACTGCCACAAATGTTACAATTACAGTTAAATGCACATTAATATTGGATTCTGCAGATGTTACCAATAGTTAGACTGAAAGGCCAGAAAGACACTGTCCTGCCTCTAGGGCAATGCATCCCTCTATCTAGATGTCGATAAATCATCCCTGCCAGGGATGACTTTGATCCCTCTATTTCTGAAGAAGAAATGTTTTGCATTTGTAAGCGCCAGTTTTCTCCAAGTGGCAGGTGTGTTCCAATCATTTCCCAGAGAGAGCATCTTCAGACCGGCCATAAGGGGTTTTCCCCCCTCTGCATATTGCTTTGTATTTTGTGGACTGTTCAGAAGATGTTTCTGGCCAAAGGAACCTGCTCGTCTGGGTCTGTCAGTGGCAGTATGCGTTTCCCTATTCTACTCCATGGGTGCTCTTCAACCCTCCTTAAGGGGGGATCAGCTTTAGGTATGAGAGCATAGTTCTGTCTTTGTGTTATCTCAGTTCTCAATGCTAATAAGGGGGTGATGGTGTTATTTGTGCTGTGGCTACTTCTCTATTAGGAATAGATTAAGGCCAGCAACTCTTTTCATATAGGCTTGCAAACAGCCATCAAATGATATTCACTGAAAAGATAAAATATCATGAGTGATGTGGAGCAAGTAGACAAGGAAAAAAGTTATTTACTTATTCCCATAATACAAGAACTAGGGGTCACCACATGAAATTAATAGGCAGCAGGTTTAAAACAAATAAAAGGAAGTTCTTCTTCACACAACGCACAGTCAACTTGGAATTCCTTACCTGAGGAGGTTGTGAAGGCTAGGACTATAACAGTTTAAAAGAGAACTGGATAAATTCATGGAGGTTAAGTCCATTAATGGCTATTAGCCAGGACGGGTAAGGAATGGTGTCCCTAGACTCTGTTTGTCAGAGGGTGGAGATGGATGGCAGGAGAGAGATCACTTGATCATTACCTGTTAGGTTCACTTCCTCTGGGGCACCTGGCATTGGCCATTGTCGGTGGACAGGATACTGGGCTAGATGGATCTTTGGTCTGACCCAGTACGGCCGTTCTTATGTTCTTAAGTGACTTGTGTCAAAGATACACCCCTCCCCCACTAGAGCATGTGCAACCTCTACACTGATCTAGGTATTTATTATGTAATCAGCTGGTGCCATGAATTGATCAATTAATAGAAACATGAAACTCAGGTCTTGGCAGGTAAAATGTCCTTCATCTCTAAGAAGGAGGGAGCATTGTCTAGTGGTGAAAGCACCCTAGTTAAGAAATGTTTGTTCTAGTCTTGGCATTGCCACTCACTTGCTGTGTGACCTTGTGCAGGTCACTTAGCATCTGTGTCTCAGATGACCATATTTTTAAAGGAAAAAGAAATCTGGCACATGTACATGGTGACATCTTTTAGGGCTGGAAAGAGTCAGACAAAAGGACACTTTTATTTTAAAGTGTGCTGGTGTCACCACGGCCAGCTTCTGACTCAGAGAGGGACATATGTATTTTGGAGTGGAGGATTTTTTCAATTTTTAAATCAGCTTCTGTACCGAATGACTGGAGGATAGCTAATGTGATGCCAATTTTTAAAAAGGGCTCCAGAGGCAACCCCGGCAATTACAGGCTGGTAAACCTGACTTCAGTATCGGGCAAACTGGTTGAAACTATAGTAAAGACCAAAACTGTCAGACACATAGATTAACATAATTTGTTGGGGAAGAGTCAACATGTTTTTTGTGAAGGGAAATCATGCCTCACCAATCTATTAGAATTCTTTGAAGGGGTCAACAAGCATGTGTACAAGGGGGATCCAGTGGATATAGTATATTTAGATTTTCAGGAAGCCTTCGACAAGGTCCCTCATTGAAGCCTCTGAAGCAAAGTAAGCAGTCAAGGCATAAGAGGGAAGGTCCTCTCATGGATTGGTAACTGGTTAAAAGATAGAAAACAAAGGGTAGGAATAAATAGTCAGTTTTCAGAATGGAGAGAGGTAAATAGTGGTGTCCCCCAGGGGTCGGTACTGGGACTAGTCCTATTCAACGTATTCATAAATGATCTGGAAAAAGGGGTAAACAGTGAGATGGAAAAATTTGCAGATGATACAAAACTACTCATGATAGTTAAGTCCCAGGCAGACTGCAAAGAGCTACAGAAGGTCTCTCAAAACTGAGAGATTGGGCAACAAAATGGCAGATGAAATTCAATGTTGATAAATGCAAAGTAATACACATTAGAAAACATAATTCCAACTACACATATAAAATGATGGGGTCTAAATTAGCTGTTACCACTCAAGAAAGAGATCTTGGAATCATTGTGGATAGTTCTCTGAAAACATCCACTCAATGTGCAGCGGCAGTCAAAAAGGCAAACAGAATGCTGGGAATCATTAAGAAAGGGATAGATAATAGGACAGAAAATATCCTATTGCCTCTATATAAATCCATGGTACATCCACATCTTGAATACTGCGTACAGATGTGGTCGCCCCATCTCAAAAAAGATATATTGGAATTGAAAAAGGTTCAGAAAAGGCAACAAAAATTATTAGGGGTGTAGAGCGTCTGCCATATGAGGAAAGATTAATAAGAGACTGGGACTTTTCAGCTTGAAAAAAAGATGACTAAGGGGGGATATGATAAGAGGTCTATAAAATCATGACTGGTGTGGAGAAAGTAAAGAAGGAAGTGTTATTTATTCCTCATAATGCAAGAACTAGGGGTCACCAAATGACATGAATAGGCAGCAGGTTTAAAACAAACAAAAGGAAGTATTTTTTCACACAACGCACAGTAAACCTGTGGAACTCCTTGCCAGAGGATGTTGTGAAGGCCAAGACTATAACAGGGTTCAAAAAAGAACGAGATATATTCATGAAGGATAGGTCCATTAATGGCTATTAGCAGGGCAGGGATGGTGTCCTTTAGCCTCTGTTTGCCAGAAGCTGGGAATGGGCAATAGGGAATGGATGACTTGATGATTGCCTGTTCTGTTCATTCCCTTTAGGGCACCTGGCATTGGCCACTGTCATAACACAGGATACTGGGCTAGATGGACCTTTGGTCTGACCCAATATGGCCGTTCTTATGTTCCAATGATGTAGTGTTCTGCGTTCATTGTGAAACACGAACATGAACAGCTCATTCCACTGTGCTGTTTGTTCTCAGTAAACAGTGTAAATTCTACTCAGCATAGCAATACATCTTGAACAAGCATTGTGTAGTTATGAAAAACGAAACATTTTGGCTGATGAAATGGAAAAAAAAAACAGAATATTTTAGTCATCCTGAAGCTCCTGTGACATCATAAGAAACACCAGGACTGTCCTGTTTAAACTATGTAAGGTCACTTTATAGTTACCTCACATGTAAACTGGGGATATTTAACTCCAGCTCACAGAGCTGTTGTAAGGCTATGCTCATTAATGTCTGAATTGCTTTGAGAGCTTCAGATGGAAGGTACTGTGAAGTATTGTTTTAAAGTGGTGATTTTGACAGCAGCATGCTAATCTGAAATGAGCCTCTAGAACTAGTGCTGCTAATTCTCCCTCCAACTTCTAAAACTCACTGTTGTACAATGAGACAAGATGTTCCTTTTTCTTGTTTCCTATATTCTCAGAATTATGCTCCACTGCAGGAGCCAATGACCTAAAATGCTTCTGAAATTGTATTTTCTATGTGATTTCCCAACCCATCTGATCATAAACTGATCATTTATCTGAAACAGAAGCTGATCACGTATATACTGCGAGTGAGTACTGACTGAAAACAGAGGTCCCTATAATTTGGTGCTGGATTGTTGGCTGTTTTTTTAGTATGACCCCCGTTCTAGTGGTATGGGCCTTTGACTGCCGTATCTCAGTCAGACTGGAACAGCTACAGTAATGAAATCCGTGTGCTGTTTACATGGTGCAAAGCAAGTCGTTGACAAAGATATGTATGTATTTCTGTCCTTGCAACTAACCTGATTCTTATAAAACACACACTGTAAATCCTCTCCCCTAATCATGCCATTTGAAAAGCCCGCATTTTCTTTTTGCTTACAGGTAGTTGTGGTCATGGTGGAATTGTGAATATCAGCCAGCCCTATGTTGTACAGCTGAACTGGAGAGGATTTTCCTACAAATATGGTGCCTGGGGTAGGGATTACTCTCTTCGGACGCCAGAGAAGGACCTATACTGGGTTGCACCTTTGAACCCAGATGGGAGAATCTTGGAATATTACAGACTTCATAATTCCTATGATGATTTGCTGCTATTCAAAAACGCTAAAGAAAGTAGAATTGCATACGGGGAAGGCAGTGGCATTGCAGTTTACAATAATTTCATGTATTATAATATATATAGTACAAGAGATATGGGCAAGCTTGATTTAAACACAAACACATTGGCTTTGAGGAAAACTCTGCCAAACGCTGCTTTTGGTAACCGTTTCTCTTATGCTGGTGTTGGGTGGCAAGATATAGACTTTGCTGTGGATGAAAGTGGATTATGGGTAATTTATTCAACCGAGGAAAGCACGGGTAACATTGTGATTAGCAAACTCAATGAGACCACACTTGATGTGCTCCATACTTGGAAAACAAGGCAGTACAAGCCATCTGTTTCTAACGCTTTCATCATATGTGGTGTTCTATATGCCACAAGACCTGTCAGCACTAGGAAAGAGGAAATATTTTACATGTATAACACCAACACTGAACAGGAAGGTAGAATTAATATAATTATGGACAAAATGTTAGAAACAGTTCAGAGTATCAACTATAATCCCTCAGACCAAATCCTGTATGTTTACAATGATGGCTACCTTGTTAGATACAATCTGATTTTTCAACCTGCGTTACACTGATATGAATTTACATAACGGCTAGAGACCATAGAAAGTCCAATTTTATATCCCTGTGGACAATGTTAATGTCCTAATCCTCCCAAGAGTAGCTACTGGGCCTAGGGTTTATTACCATGAGCTGTCCCAGTGAAGGGATTACTTACACTAATAACCTCTATGCCTGGTAATAACTAGTTGCAAGATTGGGTTCTTAGCTTTTTAACTGGTGTTTAGATACAATGGTGACAGGTGTACTAGAAATGCCTCTGCTGTAAAGATAAATAGATGACTTATTGATGGACAGAACATGCATAGCAATAGGCTCACACACTGATGTGCATTTGGAGGAATGTCTGTATTTGGATAAAACATGGAAACTGAACTGCTGTTTTGTCATCAGTGCTCAAAATATGGAAGGCCATAAATATATTAATCACTGGCCTCAATTACTAAAAGATTAATATTAGAGGAGAATTAAGACTTGATCTTTAAAGAGCAGACCTTCGGTTAAGATGAAGCTATGCAAACGGTTGCCATGGCGCCTTCCTTTCAACCCATCAATGTATTTTAGATGGCAGGGCTCCAATGGACTACTTTCCTAAAAAGAAGAACAGGAGTACTTGTGGCACCTTAGAGACTAACAAATTTATTAGAGCATAAGCTTTCGTGGACTACAGCCCACTTCTTCGGATTGCACTCCTGGGAAAAAAACCTTACCCATTTTTGGACGGTTGCATTTTCTTAGCACTGTGTCCTGGGAGCATGAGCCATACCCCACTGAAAACCATGGAAAGAGTTCCATTGACTTTAATAGTCTCTGGCAGTCCCTTGGCGTATGCCATATGCTGCAGTAGAGCAGAAACTATGCCACCCTACATGCTTCCATTTAGCATTCTGCAATTTACTGTGACCTCCATTAGCATCTTTCAAAAACACTCCGAAAACAAGGAGCCAAAATTCATTTCCAGTATAACTCCATTGGCTTCAATTATTTTACATTGGGGGGGTGAATCTGGCACATGATTTGTCCGTTACAGAATACTGACGTTAGGAAAAAAATCAGTCAGATGCTCTTTATTTTTAAAATGCCACATAATATTTTCTATCAATATCTGTACTGTAATCATGTCAGAAATACTGACGTGTACAATTATGAAAATGCAGTGAATGCTTGCTGGTTTTATTTTATTAACCCTATCTTTGTTTTCTTATAACCTGGATCAGTAGATGTGAATGATTAATTTTTGTTTAATTAAAAAGTGTTCTAAAAATCCAAACCCTACAGTTATTTAAGTCATTATGCGACAGCTGGGAAACTTTTGGGATGCAGCAAAAAGCCAGCTTGACCAAACAATATTGGAAACAGAGATCATCATACTCCATAGCTCCTAGAACAACACAAAGGTGTGAATCAATCTGTCAGTAACTAGATGAGGGACTTTATTTCCACCCATTGAAATATGTTCATCAGTTAGATTAACATTCAAGTAACATCTCAACTTGGTGGAGAGAGGTCTGAGGCTGATGACCCATCTTTAAGTCAGGTGCTGCCGTTTACCAGGTATCTGCATCTGTTTCCTGAAAATCTGTGAAATAAATTTGAAAGCCAGCCAGCACTGGCACAGTAATCTGATCCACGAGCATGGGCCTATAAGGAATTCACAATAGCCCTACCGAAGGATGTTTAAAAATAAAAAAGCTAATAGAATATTTCTTGCTTCACATTTTTTGGCGAACCAATAATTCCCAAGGGTTGCCCTAATCACAGGCATCTCTATATGGCAGCTCTATATGGCATCACATTTTAAGGAGAAATTTGGGGCTAGATCCACAAAGTGGACTTAAAGTTAGGTGTTGCAGCACTGAACCTAGGTCCCCTGCCACTAACTGGAATCTTCTACTCTGACTCAGGTACACAGGCTCCCCATAAACCAGTGGTTCCCAAACTTTAACAACCCACGAATCCCTTTCACTAAAATGTCAAGTCTCGTGAACCACTTCCTAAAAATGAATATTTCCAGGGATTTTCTCCCTTACCTCAGCGTAAATTATAAAAGCAGTGATCTTGGAAATTTAAAATTTGTTTTTATGACATGCTTATTACACACTATTAATTATTATTTATCATTACAATATTTTTATTACATTATGAAAACAGGAACACCCTTCCAAGATCTCACTTTTGTAGCTTGTATCACTTTTGATTAAGCCTGTTATAAGACAAGGCTCCTATCAGAGGTACCAGTAGAAAAAATGGGTGCAGGGGTAAAGCCCCCCCCCCACATCCTGGGGGGTGGCACTGCCAGAAAAGTGGGGTGCCCTACAGGATCTGCCAGAAAAAAAGGGGAGGGACCCGTGGGGGGGGGGCGCAACACGAGGACGACCCGTACTGGTGCCTCTGGCTCCTATGTTTCATCAAGGAGTATCAGATGTGAAGCAGCATGAAAATATTTAAGAAGCCAACTCAAAGAGTTCCTCCTACACAAGTATTGAGGTCTTGAGCAGTCCAGGCAAACAAACAAAGCTTAAACTTGTTCTTCATAATAATTTAAAAACAACACTAGCAGCCTATTTAATTATAAAAACAGCAACCCCCCCCCACTTCCCTTTCTATTTCATATAAAGAGTCTTGAAATTTAAATCTCCTCAGTGTGATAGACATGCTTGCTTTGATCTGCTTAGCTCTTGGAAGTCCCCAAGGCCCCGGGCTGCTCACCCATGCTGCCCAGGGTCCCTATGGACAGCTCTGTCTGCCTTTAGGGAATTTTTTTCTCCTGAGAACCCCCTGTAACATTTTGTGAACTCCCAGGGGTTCATGAACCCCCATTTGGGAACCACTGCCATAAATGTATGCGGAGTTTTAGGCACCTAAGAATGAGATTCCCAGAAGCTGAGGGGGATGCTGCTTAAGCTAGCCAGCTAGCTGAGTAGAGGGTTGGGCTCGAGTCCATTTAATGCCACTTGGGATTCACAGCTGTGAACCCTTTCCTGGAATTAGGTGTTTAAACCAGGTCAGCCTTGTCTGAATGGGGAAAAGAAAAGACAACTTGGAGGTTGCGATGCCATTTTATACACAGTATTTAGAGATTCAGCTTGGATGTGGGAGATCAGGGTTTAAATCCCCACTCTTCTTGTGTCAGAGCAAGCACTTGAACCCAGATCTTTCACTGCCCAAGTGAGTATGCTAAGCACTGGACTACACGGAGGGTGGGAGGAGGGGCTTTCTCAATCTCACCTGTTGAAGCTGCTTCACTTTGTATGAAATACTTAAATAGTCAGTAGGCCAAAAAGTAGTTAGAATGACTCTGTAGTAGAGGGATTATAGTATCTAGTTACAGACCGAAGTTCTAGTCCTGCACCAATGACTGTTTAAACCCGGACCACTATTTAGTTCTAAGCTGTTACAGCATCTTATTATTGTCACTGTGAGAAATCTTGTGATTGGCAACAAACTTGCTAGTAACAGGCATAGCCAAACCACTCGACTTTCTTGTGTAGGAGGTTCTTATTTACCGAATAGGCTGTGCAATGTCAGCTCACTCTGTGTCTAATATCAGAAAGACTAAAGCAAAGGGCAAGTCTAGCTGATTTTGTGCATTTCCCACTTGCAATTTTTGAGTGTCACATCAGCTGGACAGTTCCATGCCTTTCTGTACTGTCCAAAGAGAGAGTGCCTCTTCACAGTCATGCAGGTGCCTAGTTTGGGGTAGGGCCCCAATGGCCTTATACAGTAAATGAGTTTCTGACATGGTACTCTCCAATTTACAAAGAGGAGCACAGTGTCCCCAGTCCCAGCACAGGCTTGCCAGATTAAATGGCAATGCATCAGGAAAGCAAGAGCCTTCCATTGAAGCAAATGACAAAACTTCCTTTTTCTTCAGTGGGAGTGAAACTACAATGAACCAAAACCTGGACACAAATTCAGTTGTTTGGAGATCCATTCCTGACCCGATTCCTCTCCACAGTCTTGCATCTTGGCCTGTCTCTGTGTCATCTCCTTGTGGATATTTTGCTATCTATTTAATTGCAACTTGGTTAAAATTGAGCTTCTTTCATTCCTCTCAAGATCTCCATTGCATTCTCAGTCACCATTGACAGTACTACCATCCTTCCTGTCACTCAGACTCATCATGAGAGTCATCTTTGACTCTTCACCCTCTGTAGAGCCATACATCCAAGCGGTATCCCAGCCTTGCCACTCTTCCTCCCTCGCATTTCCACTATTGGGCCTTTTCCCTCAATCCACATGACTGAAACTCTCTCTGGTGCTTATCTGCCACCTCTCTGACCTTCCTGGCACCCACCTCACTCTCCTGTCTAGTCAAAATGATGTTGCAAAGTCACCTTTTTGACCTGTCACAGTGACAATGACAGTCCCCTTCTTGAGTCCCATAGAACATGTCATATGCAAGCTTTTTGTTCCTCCTTTATGGCCTTTCACAAACTGACCCTTCCCCACTTGTCTACTCTTGTATCCAACCCTGCCTCTTCTGCTCTGCCAATGCTGTCAGCCCCCATCATCCATTAGTTCACCTGTCACACATACACTCATTTTCTTCCATTCTGACTCTTACGCATGGGCACTCCCTCTAAACTAATCCATAAATCCACTACACTGTGCTCCTCCAAATAGCTCCTTAAGACCGACTTCTTCCAGATGCCTATGGTAAGTTGCCAACTGATTACAGCTAAGCAGATCTCTTCAGTAGGAACTTCTAATATTTATCGTATTTAATTATATTAAAGACATGAACCAACTCAAAACCATCTATCCATGCACATAGCTGGCCTCTGCAAACTCATGATCTTGTTTCTTTTACCCTCACTGTTTATCCCTCATTCTTTCAATTGTTACAATTACTTGTTGCGTCTTATCTTAAATGTTGTTGTATGTTCTTCTAGGGAGGAACTGCCTTTTTGCTCTACATTAGAACAGCATCGAGCACCAATTGTGGCCTCTAGGTACTTCTGGGATACAAACAATAAATAATAGCATGCCTGGGATTTTTTTGTGCATCTGTGTTTTTGTCTGAAATTTCATGCGTGCGGCTATGTGGATTGAATATAAATTGGCTTTGAAAAGTGGGCAAACAATATGTTTCCAGACAACTGTGTAAACATTCTGTTGCACATAATGACATTTAAATTTCATGAATTCATCCCTAAATTTATAAGGTGTAAGATGGGGATCTCTTTCTCCTGTAGATATTACGTTGGTTTTTTGTGATTGAATATTAGTGCTCCTGAAAGTTAGAGACTAACAACACTAGTCAGAGGCAATCACAGAGCACAAAGCCAACAGGAAGTCTTTTGCACAGTGCACTATTGGTGGGACTCAGTCATAAAAACATTTAGCATGTCTCTTGAGAATAGATTGAAAAATCATGAATTGCAGTCTCTGCTGAAGATTCTTGAGGAATTCTGTTCCTGTTTGTTCTTAGTCTGTTTTCAAACTCTAACAAATAGTTCTAGTGTTAATTACTTAACACTCTTTAGTTAGTTATTTGCCAGCGTAGCTCCCTTGGAGTTCAGGGAGCATGGCCCCTTTAAAACTTCATTCTGAGGCAGAAGTAGTGCATGTTGTTTCAGGGGCCTGGGGAGTGGAAGAGTGACAGGGCAGGTATGTCCGTAGGTCCAGACAAAAGGGCTACACCGAGCAGGCCCTCATGTAATGAAGCAGCAGAGAACGAGCCCGGAGCTTGGGAGGGACAAAGCGACTGACTGGGGCCACTCTGGGACTGGAGCCAGGAGGAGCACTGTGCCAGGGAGGAATCACTCAAGAAGGACAAACAAGAGCCTGACCCAGAGCTCTATGGGGCTAGGAGTACTGGGGCTTGTAACCTTGCAGTTGGAATAAAGAGGGAGGCTGTAGCAAGTTAAGTGGGGGAGGTTGTTGCTCTGTGTGAGAGTGGCAGAAGAGGGCACTGGAAGGGTTTGCTGGGGAAAGTTTACTGGTGCCGAAGATGACCAGGAGCACCAAAGACTCACTGCCAGACTGGAACGTTGCCCAGGACTCCTGAACTCTGAGTGTAGATGCATTGCTCAGTGTCTACCCCTTTCAGACTGTGGTACCACTGGGGCCTTGTGTTGGATGTAAGCCTGTTTTACTGCTCCTCCTATCTTCCCCCCTGTTTTTCTCCATTCATCCCTCTGTGATGAAATATTTCCCTTTCCTATATTCCTTGTACTATTCTGGTGCGTGTGTATTTACTCCAGGGGATATGGAACAGACACTCCTGAGTTGGAAGGGAGTTTCCCTGCTGCATTACTG